GTGAATAACTCCGTGACTTCCTGAGCAATTGAAACGGACATTTAGAACAAAGCTAAATACTCCACAAGCTGTTTTTCTTCTGCAGGGTCGAGAAAAAGTGTGAACCCCTTCGGATTTTCACATCTTTTACATATTTCAAACCTAAAATGTTATTAGATCTTAATCTAAGTCCTAATAATAACAACGATAACACGATTAAACAAATGAAACATAAAACGTGATATATTTTTTCGATTTAAAGCTTTCGTGACTGCAGGGATTCCTCTTCTTGGTTCTTTCGGTAAAGTCACGTAGAAGGGAAGTAATAAAATAATAAAAATAAAACATAGTAAAATAATTCTCACGACGTTTCGGCCACAACGCAAGCATTTTAAGTTAAATATGAAAAAAAAATTTCCTACAAAGTGTAAAGTTATGGAAATTTTTTTTCACGAAAATAAATTGTCACGCACAACGAGTCTGTGTGCAAAATATCAGCTTGATTGGATCACGGGAAGTGGGTTAAAAAACGACCGAAAGATTTGCACGGTCGTAAGCGCGCAAGCAAGCAAGCGAACTTAATATAAAGGATTTTAAAATAAATATTAACTTGATAAACGAGCGACGTCTTGCAATACGAGCAGTACATATAGTATACGCTTTGTCACGTGATCACGACTGATAAACAACGAGTGCTTTGATATACGAGTGCTTTGGATTACAAACGATTTATGCTCGCAATCCAAGGTTTTACTGTAATTAGTCCTTTATCTTTAAAAAGCCAGTCAACGGTGTAATGCAAATTGCACGTGAACTGTCAAAGATTGCAAACACAGCAGCCTTACCTTCAGTCCAATGCAAGCCCGCGCTTGTCTGAAGTATCCCCGGGGCCATGTTGGGTTTAGATATATAGCGATCTCCGCATCGAACAAGGCATCAGTGTACAATCCAAGATGTTCCAAACAAAATGACCGATTTCCATAAAATCTGGTGAATAATGACACAGATGAGAAATCAAATCCAATTGACAGACCATCTTTAGAATTCGATTGCTCCGAATTGAACTAGGCCATGTGGATAAGACACTCTTGAAATCACACTGAACGTTGACGGAAAAAATGTCTGCGTCTGATTGGAAACATGTAGGTAACAGATCAACACGTTAAAAAATTAACCCGTAAAAACAAAGTTTTTCACTATAAATCCTTTATACGCGTGGCATCGGTTTTATTTTATTATTCATTTCTGTTATTCTTGAGTAAGAGTTCCATTTTTATCACATTGCTATTTTAAATTAAATATGAAATTTTTTTTTCCTAAAAAGTAGCAAATTTTGGAAAAAAAATTTTCACGAAAATAAATTGTCACGCACAACGAGTCTGTGTGCAAAATGTCAGCTCGATTGGCTCACGGGAAGTGGGTTAAAAAACGACCGAAAAATGTGCACGGTCGTAAGCGCGCAAGCAAGCAAGCGAGTGAACTTAATATAAAGGATTAAAAAATGTCTGCATCTGATTGGAAACATGTAGGTAACAGATCAACACGTTAAAAAGTTACACGTCTTTGTGGAAGAGGTACGCAAATGACACATTCGTCATCTGGCCACATGGCCTACCAGCTCTGAACCAATTCCTCAAGCACATTAATTACATACACCCAGCCATCACATTCACCATGGAGGTGGAAAAGTATGGCAAGTTACCATTCTTGGATGTATATTCTTAGGTTTTTTACCTACGTGACTTTATCGAAAAAACATAAGAATATGAATCCTTGCAGTCACGAAAGCTTCAAATCTAGAATTCTTGGATGTTTTAATCGAAAAGAGAACTGATGGCTCAATGGGACACCCTGTCTACAGCAAAGCCGCCCATACGGATGCTTATCTAAAACCTGACTCCCACCACCATCCATCCCAAAAGAATTCCCTTATCAAAACGCTACACCATAGAGCTCCATGTATCTCCGACCATCATCACCGAGCCAGTGAACTTTATCACGTACACCAAGCTCTCAAGATGAATGAATATTCGGACCACACAATCCGTAAAGCGTTCACCCCAACCGTTGGGAAAGAACCATCAAAACCATCACCTTGCCATACATAGCAGGGGTCACCAAAATATTTCCTAAATCTTGAGCAAACACAAGATCCAGGCTCCATTTAACTCTACGTCAAATTCGTAATCTGATCCCATCTGTGAAGGATATGCAGTAATTCTAGATTTGAAGCTTTCGTGACTGCAAGGATTCATATTCTTAGGTTTTTTCGGTAAAGTCACCATGTAGGTAAAAACATTAAAATTAATAAAATTAAAATAAAATAAAAATCACGACGTTTCGGAGGCAACACATCTACTTGATACAGCTGTCGTGGCTGTGACGGTTCCACCTGAAGACGGAAGCTTGTGTTGCCTCCGAAACGTCGTGATTTTTATTTTATTTTACTTTGATTAATTTTAATGTTTTTACCTACCTGGTGACTTTACCTAAAAAACCTAAGAATATGGATATGCAGTACCCTGGCGTCTCGGACCGTGTTCGTGAGCATGAGGCGGATCTGAAACACGGCAGGATCAACGCGTCGGCCGTGGCTGATCATTGTTTCAATGCGGTGGGCTCACACGATTTCTCTAAGATGAAGGTACTTTGTACGCGCACTGGCTATCAACAAAGATTTGTTCATGAAGCCATCCATATATACAGACACAGTTTCAACCGAGAGGATGGGTACAAACTCGGCAATCATTGGAAAGACGTCATCAAGCAGTTTAAGTCGTAACTCGCTGTGATGTTCCCATCCTGCCAACTTTATCACGCAACATTTTGCCTTTAGAATGCATTATGCCTGTCACACACACACACAACGTTGAACTGCCAAGCTACTTTCCATCAACTCAAATTGGCTGTATAGAAGTGTTTAATGCTCATGGAATGTTAATATTAGTATTCAAATTTTGCTTTAAAAATTGTCAAGTTACACTATGGGATTCATAATCAACGTTGTTGGGTTTAGATCGCGTTATTTATAAATGTGTCTTAACCCTCCACCACCCGACACGGCCAATCAGCAAAAAAGTGTCACGTTGACAAAAGACAAATAGTTCACTGCTTTAGCCCACCGGTGTGTTGAAGCGTGAAGCCACAACATTTACAATTTGAGCACGACGTTTCGCTGGTAATTGCATCCAGCATCATCGGGCAATTCGCCAGAATGGTGAGACTCTGCTGTGTCTCCCGTTCTTACATAGAGCAGCAGCAGCAGGGTGACGTCTCATTAACTTATCAACTCATTGATTATGAATAATATTGGTCGCGAAAGCCTACGTGTTAAACTACACTACGGGAGTTGACTTACCGATGATCTCGCGGACATAAGCTAATTGCGTCGGTAAACTTGTCAATGGCTTCTGCATAACTCTGTGTTCTGACCAAGCGATTACCTTGTACTGTTTGGGAACAAGACGAAGTTGCAAGTTAACATTTGTAGGCCATAAATAGTACTAATCACATACCTGCATTTCCCATATCACATACCTGCATTTCCCTTATCCCCCTCCCTTTGATGCTGCTAATTCTGCATAATGCACGAGCATAAGTAGTACTAATCACATACCTGCATTTCCCATAAATATGCTAAATTCCTCTTGATATGCATATTATTTTTTCAAGGCGCCCCCTTTCTTCCCTCCTTCCAACCCAGCTTATATACATGCTCCAAGCGCGTGTGCTGTTTCATTCAGACGCTGTCGCCTCGACAGACCTGGTTTTCACCTGAGGACGGCTACTTGCGTTGTGGCCGAAACGTCGTGAGAAAAATTTTATTATTATTATTTTATTACTTCCCTTCTACGTGACTTTACCGAAAGAAGCAAGAAGATTTGTAGGTCACTTGGCAAAATCTAAAATGAATTGTGGATCACACGATATGCGTGCTATGGACACAATAAATAACGCAATGTAACCCTTTCCCATGACGGTTTGTCTCTCGCCCTGAAGACTTGACGAGGCACCTGGCACATGGTTTGGCACCGTCCATCATAGTGCGGTCGTGTCACGGCGAGGATAATGCCTTTCAAAAGAACGGCGCTACGCCTCTCTAAATAACATTAATGCGAGCCACTTGCAACTTGCAGATGTCTCTATTATTTTATTTGTTCCCTTCTACGTGACTCTACCGAAAGAACCAAAAATATAGATCAACCTTGATAATTGGTTTGATACCCTTCTATCTGGCAACAAAACTGACACCTTTTTGTACAAGTGTAATGCGGGCGTAAATGGGCGGGGCGGATATGACGATCCGAGAGGGAGGAGTCAGGGTGACGTGGGGGAGAAGTTATAGCGGGGAGACAGGAAGCTATCTGGGTCAGTCGGGGGAGTGAAGGGTGGTGAACACGTTGGGTGGTCGCCGTGCCTCAGCCTGGTGGCTGAGGGGCTCATGACGGCGCCAGCCAGCGGGGTGGAAGAGAGAATGGAGGATTGAGGTTGGAGATGGCGAGGTAGCCATAGAGGCCACGAAGGGCTAACTTGGGAGGTGGCGAGATCGCCACGCACGGAGGAACAGGGAGCAGCGATGGAGCTGCTGTGGGGGCAGCCGGAGGGCTGCACCAAGAGCCTGCAGCGGAGCTGCAGGGGCGTGGAAGGCTACGGGAGCGAAGGCAGATGTGGGGCTGCCAGGGAGAGAGTCTCAGGAGGAGTGCCGTGTGGGAAGGAGAACGCGAACCCCAAATAAAGGACACGGAGTCAGTAAGAAGTGTCTAAGTCCTTTTATTACACTGGAGTCAGAAGTGAAACGGCATCTCAAAACAACTGAGAGAAAGAAGAAAAAAAGAATATTCCTGCTACATTATCCGACGACGACGACCTTCCTCAGACGGTGGACCTGCCTGCGATGGAAGAGGAGATCCGTTCTGGAACGAGTACGGGTCCGGGTGAGCAAGGTGTCGCCGCGTCGGTGGACCTGTCTGTGCCGGAGGACGCCAACTTACGATGGAGACAGATAGCGATGCAGATGGGGACCTTGAAAATCGTGCTGGCGCAACTGTGTGAGTTCACCACGCCGAGGACGACGTCGGGGAGGCCCGGTGGTGATCCGCAGGCCTCTGCCTTTCCTGCGCTGCCAGCGCCATTGCCACGTGGCACGAAGACGCCATCTTGGGCGTGGCAGGGGAGAAACGGCGGGAAGCCGCCATCTTGTCTTCACCGCGGCGGGAGGACGCCGCCATCTTCAACATCGCGGCGGAGAGGCAGCCTTGCGCTGCCATCTGGAGGTGCCGCGGGGTGAGCAGCCTGCTGCGAGCTGCTGTTTTTCGAGGGGGTGCTGCGAGGAGAAGACGCCGATGCTGCAGCTGCTGGGGCGGGAGCTTCCCGTCCTGGCTCGGGTGCGTGACAACGGAGCCGTCAAGTCGCCGAACGAGTTCTGCGAGGCGTCTCAAGTTGCCACCCTGCCGTCCTCTTCTTGCTGCAGCCCCGGGCGAGTCATAACGATACGCACCCGGCCTTAACACACACCTCACTCATCTTTCGAGGGCCGGGGGGCTATTTTGGTTTTCTCTTATGGCTCGATTGTGCGGAGCGCGGTTCGGACTGTGTGTATATGTGTGTAATAACGATGAACGCGCTATCTGCTTGTTGCTTGGTGTCAATATAAGTGTGTGCGGGTGTTGAGAATGGACGGAGAGTCTGCTGTATTTGCTGAGTGTCAAATTGTGTGTGTGCGCTGCTGCGTGGAGTTGTTATCTTGATGGTGAAGTTAATTATTAACTTGGGAGCGTCGGGTATCTTGCGCTGTATTATTTGTGGGTTACCTTGTGTGATGGGCTTAATTGAAAAAAAGTATATATATTTTTTTGGTGTATTGTGCTGCGAGGTGCTGTGTGCGATGCGATTGTTGCAAGAGAGAGAATAATTGTGTTGTTGCTGCAAAGTTACGACAGGATTAATGGTGTGTTGGTTGCCTGCAGATCTGCTTGCTATTGTGCTTAAATGTACACGTGTGATCGCGATATGCTGATTGCATGTGCTGTTATACCGTTCTGTATGGTTATGGGGTGCGATGCAGTGGTTGACTATTGGAATTGAGATTGTTATTATATTGTGCGTACTTGTTGGAAATTGGTAACAAATTGGAGGGGGACCCAAAAATTTGGTTGTATGGGTGTTGTGCACACGAGATTGCGTGTATATTATAGGGGTAATTGAGCTTTTTGAAAATGAGGGTGCGCGATGACGCCGTTGTGGGTGGCTTAGATGTTAATGCTAATGGGATCGTAAATGGGCGCCAAGTGGCGTCGTGTATTGGTTGATTGCATGCAGCCACGAGTTGCTTTGCGAGTTGGGTTGTGTAACTAATGTGGTTGGTAAAATATTGGTTAAAAATTCCCCGATATGACTGCTGCGCGCAGCAAGCTGGGGCTGTGCGTCTATCGTTGTTGGGGTTGTTACAATAAGACGGGGGATGCATTTTGTGACCCCCAGCATAGGGAAGCTGGGGTGCACGAATGGAGAAAACTGGCCACGTGTTCGCACGTTGGGCCGCCATTTTCTGGCCACGTGTTCGCACGTTGGCCACGTGTTCGCACGTTGGGCCGCCATTTTGTGCGCACGCGGGGTATGGCGACGATGCGCTTTGCGGAAAGGGCCGCCATTTTGAGTGCGCGCGAGAGATTGCGCGAACGCGCTGGGCGAAGGGGGACGCCATTTTGAGCGCGCGGGAAAAACCGGGGTGGGGCAAATATTCCATCTGTTATGCCTGCCATTGTTGATTGGGTGATGCACGAGTTGTGGTCACATCGGCCTATGGCTGATGGCTGACCTGACAGCCCGGAGGCGAAACCTCCGTGGTATGTCTTAAACTAATGGGCCATGTGCTCATATGGCTCGGGGAGTCATGGTTCAGTTGTGCGGTGGCAGACTGAACCTGGTGTGCCGGGGGCTCACGGGATCTGGGTTAGGGTGTTATTGTCTCTATAAGAGAACATTGCCCCGTGGGGGGAGTACAGGGGGTCTGGCATTGCCGGGGGGATGAACCTTCCCTGGGCTATAAAGCATCAGACTATACGAGGCTGGTGTGTCCATCGCTGATGGGATAGTAAGGGAGGAGCATGGCCGAGTGCTGCTCATCCCCGAAATGGCACTAGCCGAGAGTATGGTAAATGGATGTTGCTGTGGGTTGACGACCACGGTGAGGGTTACGGCGAGTTAAACGTCACCGCTGGGGAGCGTGGCTCTCTCCACGCGAGGGTGTGCGATTAGGTGTTTTGTTGGGTTGCTGAGAGTGACCGTGGGTACATGCTGTGTACGTGCGATGTCTGTGCTGGTCCTCAAGGGAGGACTGCTGGTGGGTAAGAGCAGGGAATTTTGTTGTTGTTGTTGTCACGTGTAAATAATATTGTTGTTAAAATGTAAATACTGGGGCATCCATTGCGTTATTTTGGGTATTTATGGGGAGTTTTTTTAAGCGGGCTGGATTTACATCATCTCCACTACCCTGAGGCCGGGTGGCTGTCGTGTACGACATGCGGATGTGCGTTGTTGTGCTGTGCCTCAGGGGATTGGATTCTCCTTCTCGTCACAGATTCTTCAGCTCCCGTCGCACTGGGTGTTACCTGGTGTGCTAGCTGGATGAGGACTTGAAGGAGCAATTGAGCACCGTTCGTCATTCTGCTCTACCACTTGCTCTTTGACGTTGGACTTGAGCCGAGCGGATGGAACTGCAACATGGACACGCACTAAAACATCACATTCTGGGTTGTGCGCGTTGGCCGTTCTTGCGTGTCAGTTGCCGTTGTTGTTCATTGTGCCATTCTTATTCTTGTTGTTGTTGTGCGGAGGACAGGCCGGTGTTCTGTTCCAGTTCCTGATACCTCCCCTTTCGTTGCTTGTGTTGTTGTTGTTATAATCTCCGTTGTGTCTGGGGGACTCCTGATTGTGATGCCTTCGCCCGCATTATTTTGTTCTGTTTCAGCCGAGGACGGCTGGGATTTTCTCTACAGGGGAGGGTAGTGTAATGCGGGCGTAAATGGGCGGGGCGGATATGACGATCCGAGAGGGAGGAGTCAGGGTGACGTGGGGGAGAAGTTATAGCGGGGAGACAGGAAGCTATCTGGGTCAGTCGGGGGAGTGAAGGGTGGTGAACACGTTGGGTGGTCGCCGTGCCTCAGCCTGGTGGCTGAGGGGCTCATGACGGCGCCAGCCAGCGGGGTGGAAGAGAGAATGGAGGATTGAGGTTGGAGATGGCGAGGTAGCCATAGAGGCCACGAAGGGCTAACTTGGGAGGTGGCGAGATCGCCACGCACGGAGGAACAGGGAGCAGCGATGGAGCTGCTGTGGGGGCAGCCGGAGGGCTGCACCAAGAGCCTGCAGCGGAGCTGCAGGAGCGTGGAAGGCTACGGGAGCGAAGGCAGATGTGGGGCTGCCAGGGAGAGAGTCTCAGGAGGAGTGCCGTGTGGGAAGGAGAACGCGAACCCCAAATAAAGGACACGGAGTCAGTAAGAAGTGTCTAAGTCCTTTTATTACACAAGGAGTCGTGTTTGCATAGAACACAATACCTGCAGTCATAATGCAAACAAAAAACACAACTCTGATGTGTGCACTGTCCTTGAAGTTGATTGGTCCACACCCGAGACAGCTTTCCTTAGAGCCTAGTCTCACATGGGTTGGACCAGATGACGCCAAAAGGCACACAACTCAACTTCAAGGACAGTGCACATTATCAGAGTTATGTTTTTTGTTTGCATTATGACTGCAGGTATTGTGGTCTATGCAAACATGACTCCTTGTTAAAAAAAAAAGTGTCAGTTTTGTTGCCAGATAGAAGGGTAAAAAACCAATTATCACGTTTTTTACTGGCAAATGAGGTTCCAATGGTGTAGATGAACCTTACTTGCAATCTTTATGCTGCGTCGAGTTAACGTGTCAAGACGTGGTTCCTGGGGTACAGCGCTGGCGGGAGCCTACGGGGAGAGCAAGCGGTGCAGTTAGCGCAGCTCGCTCAGGATGACAACAACAGACGAAGTTGCTTCTAGATTTAAAGCTTTCGTGACTGCAAGGATTCATATTCTTAGGTTTTTTCGGTAAAGTCACCATGTAGGTAAAAACACAAAAATTAATAAAATTAAAATAAAATAAAAATCACGACGTTTCAGAGGCAACACATCTACTTGATACAGCTGTCGTGGCTGTGACGGTTCCACCTGAAGACGGAAGCTTGTGTTGCCTCCGAAACGTCGTGATTTTTATTTTATTTTACTTTTATTAATTTTAATGTTTTTACCTACCTGGTGACTTTACCGAAAAAACCTAAGAATAAGACGAGGTTGCATTACGCACAAGATTAGATTAAGAAGCACACGTCATTGACAGAAAGAGCGAGTGGGAAAACAACACCGACCAAATAATACGCAGTGTAATCGTGGGATGGACAGACATTTCTGGGTGATTATAGTCGGTAATTTGCTCGTTTGAAAAGCTGCTTGTCGGCATTGATCAATAACGTGAAGAGGACAACGGAGGCTTTGAAGTTGTGAACCTGATCTCATTCTTATACGACCTTGTAGACATATTTGTGTTGGTCACTCATGATGACGTCACTCCACATAGACACGCCCCCAGGTGACGTCACTCCACATGAGGACCCCCCCCCCCGTGTGACGTCACTCGTGGTGACGTCACTCCACATGAGGCCCCCGCCCCCATGTGACGTCACTCCACATGGCCCCGCCCCCAGGTGACGTCACTCCACATGGACACCCCCTCCGCCCCCATTCACGATAATTAGCGGCTAGCGCCACATCAACTCCATTGGGCTGTAACGGCGTTAGACAAACGCACCTCTCCGTCGTCGTCTTCCGGCTTCTCGTGCCGCTCTTTCCTTCCTCTCTCTTGCCGCTTTCTCTCCCTCCGCCTCTGCGGACAGTCAACAAGTTTTTACGTGAAAAAAATAACGGCGCCCGTTTATGTAAACAGGTCCCTGCGGGGTGGGCTGGTAGGAGCGAACAAATGAATGTCCATAATAACATGAAATGGCGGGGGTACAATACGAAGGGAGAGTTTGAGGCCTAGTTCTAGGCTTTAGGCCTAGCTGTAGGCTTTAGGCCGCTGTGAGTTAATTTTTAATTTAAATGTTTTAATTAAAAACTATCTCAGGGAATTATAAGGGAATGTTACACTTGTTTAGCCAGGAAAGCCCCACTGAGTCTAAAGGTTTTTGTAGGGTCCTGCCAAGTGTTTGCAGTAGGGGGCGATGTTGCTACACCTAATCGGACATCGGACGGACGGACGATATAATCTATTGTAGGCTGGTTCACTTCGTTCCTACCAGTATTATTGTAGATAGAAGGCAAGGCCGGCTTCAAATACTTGCGTGTTAATTACAGATAAATATTATATTATAAACAGTAAAGCTTCAAAAACAAAAAAGCATCGACACTTAAGTAAATGCATTACGCATTTATATTTCCAAACAATTATGTAGAAAAAAAATATCCTACGTGAATAACATTCTTTAATACAAACTTAATTTGTAGCTTTCGTGACTGCGGGAATTATTCTTTGGTTGTTTCGGTAAAGCCACGTATAAGGCCTCGACACAGAGGCGTAGTTTCTCTGTGTGCCTATGTTAGCTCTCTCTCTCTATGTATCTCTGTGATATCTGTCTGCCTATATGTCTGTCTGTGTGTCTATGTTGTGTGTCTCTGTGTGTGTCTCTGTGTGTCTCTCTCTATGTATCTCTGTGATATCTGTCTGCTTATATGTCTGTCTGTGTGTCTATGTTGTGTCTCTCTCTGTGTGTATCTCTGTGTGTCTCTGTGTTGTCTCTCTCTATGTATCTCTGTGATGTCTGTCTCTGCTTATATGTCTGTCTATATGTCTCTGGTTCTGTGTTTTATCTCTCTCTCAAATTTAGCATTCTCAGGAAGAACGTAATCAACCAGGTGGGGTGTTGACTGTTATGTTATCCGACTCTCTGTTGTATTACATTACATTTCTAAGTATACTAGATTTGTGTTTCTATTTCATTTATACCTGATGACGATTGCTTGTGTTGCAATCGAAAAGTCGTATGCAATTATTAAATGTATTATTTTATCTTTATACGTGACTTTACCGAAAGAACCAAAGAGTCCTTCTGTGTTGTTATTTACTCAGATGGTGAACGACATTTACTGCAAGGGAATTTACTCTGTCCGTAACACAATAGTATTTCAGGTGGAGTTATTTGCAGAGAATGTTTTCTGTATTCATTGGTTTTATCTGGTTTGACAATTCGTTTTAAACATGAGACCCGAATGTAACCAGGAGGTACGCATAACTTCAGATGCAAAGCAAAAACACTTGACCGCACCTTTGAAAACAAATCTTCCAATAATATAAACATGCTTTACATTGCATAAAGGACACCTAAGGATATATGGTTCATGATAAATCTGCAAAACAAACCTTCTGTTTAGTCTCAGTCTTCGTTTTTGCATTTTCCTCTTCCTGGAAAAGATCTGCTGCATTATGATTTGCTTCCTGTAAGTAAACACCAGACAATTTGAACAATCATCATAGCAATGACATAGCTACACATTGTTACCGTGTTGAAATGGTTTTACACAAAAGCAAGGTTTAGCTGAAAATCACTTAAGAGGGCTTCATGTTGTGAAGTTTCTCCATTGCAGGCTATGAACTAAGAAAATATTATTCATGCACTACCCCCCCCCCCCCCCCCCCCCCGTTAGTTAGTTTCAAGACAAATTCATTATAGCACACGTCCAAATAAAAACCATAAATATGGCAACGTTAGCTACGTACCTCGACTGACTCTACGTCAGAGGTCGCAACCGGGTACCCGATACCCGTACCCTACCTGATACCCGTACCCTACCCAATACCCGGCTACCCGTACCCGACTGGACTGGATACGGGTACGAGTACCCGTTTGCGACCCTGGTGCGGCCGGGTACGGGTACGGGTAGGCCGTGAGTCACTGGTGAGTAACTGTGTGTCGCTCATTTCCCAACGTCTTGTCTCTTCTCACAATTCAAGTGCCTAGAATCAACCCACCCGCGCCTGCAACGTGGCTTCATCCCAGAGGTCGCAATCAGGTACCCGATACTTGTACCCTACCCGTACCCGGCCGGGTACGGGTAGGGTACCCGTTTGCGACCCTGGTGCGGCCGGGTACGGGTAAGGAATCAAAACTCATTTGCAACCTCTGCTCTACGTACCGTGTGAGCTGTGGAGGTGTTACTGCTGCTGCTGCTGGCTTGCGTGCCATGGCAGGGTTCACGGCTGCTCTGGCAGGGATAGGCGCTGGGTTCGTGAGAACCCCCGCTTGGGTTCAACAGGTCATCCACATTGCCGTCATCCGAGATGCAAAACTTGTCTCGATCTCCATTGGAGAATACTGTCAAGGGTGGGATTGGCGGTGGTGAAATGTTCAAAGTTCAGTTGAAATTAATACAGCATGCGGTGTACAGGCACACGTACGCCAGCCCGTTGAGATTCGCATGTAATTCATGTAAAGTATCCTGCCTATGAGCTACAAGGCATTACATTCCCAAGACTTAATTCTATGGGAATTCAAATGTTCAAACTGAAAAATGTTTGGTCATTGGCTGTTGGTGACAAGGTCCACAAACAGCAAACATGAATTTAAATGACGTACACTGGAAAGCATTTCCACAAAGCATTTCTACAAACTTCCAGCAAATCTCATGCATCTTAAGACTTCAAATGCCTCCTGTGTGAATGTGACTCAAACACAACCACATTCTTATTCACAAAGAAACCACAAGCGTTTGTCAACTTTAATATCTTTTTTACAATGATGTTTTTTTTACTTGTGCAGCCCACTGTCAATGGATTCCCTTGATTGTTTTTGTATTCAGGCAATCTCCCACTGCACGAACATAATTACTTTTAAAACAAATACAGGTGGTAACAAACAACAAAACATAGTCTATTCCAAATATCCAAATACATAAAGTTCGATTTAAAGCTTTCGTTACTGCAGGGATTCATATTTCTTGGTTATTTCGGTAAAGTCACGTAGAAGGGAAACCATCAAATAATAAAAAAAAAACATAATAAAATAATTCTCACGACGTTTCGGCCACAACACAAGTAGCCGTCCTCAGGTGAAGACAGGTCTGTCGAGGCAACAGCGTCTAAAAGAAAAAAAAAACGAAAAAAAAAACGCTGAATGCCTCGACAGACCTGTCTTCACCTGAGGACGGCTGCTTGCGTTGTGGCCGAAACGTCGTGAGAATTATTTTATTATGTTTTATTTTTATTATTTTGTTACTTCCCTTCTACGTGACTTTACCGCAAGAACCAAGAAGACAAGTAATCATCATCAGGTGTGAAATCCACAGCAAGAAAATTAGAAAAAAGTGTCGGTTTTTCCCAACGTCAGCACCACGGATAGCGATTTCCCTTCTACATGACTTCACCGAAATAACCAAGAATATCCAAATACATAGTTTAGGAATTTAGAAGAATACTATAGTTTTATAATAAAATGTATACATTAGCATGTATTGTTCTTACATTTTTAAGGAGTAAGAAAGTTAATTTGGCCCTTGGCACAGAACTTGAATCGTGTGGCAAATAGATTTTGACCCGAGGTCTTTCTGGATCGATTATTCAAAATGTGCTTCGCATGTAGGGTCATTAGATTATTAAGAGAAAAACATAATAATCATTGAGCTGGTAGTGTACACGATTCTTTGTTTGTTTGTTCACTCACCAAAACGCTGACGATGAAATGGGAATCCACCCATAGCTCCAAAAAACATCACGTTCAATAAATCCAGTATGTCCTCCTGAAGAAGGTACATCATACAACGAGACGCTAACATTGACTGATCAACCACAACACGTTTTAAAAACAAATCTACGATATTAGAGTATAAGTGTTGCATTACACGCATTCACATTCATTTTATTGGTGGCTTACCAAGCTCATGTGAGCCTCCGTTTTCTCCGCAGCAAGGAGTTGGTATGCTCCTGTAGCTTGCTGAAATCTCTGTATCGTACAAAAGGAAATTATAGTTTTGACAGAAACGATGTGCATTATTCCACGTTGTGTTCAGCTGCAGCAACTTGTGGGATTGAACAACGTCAGTGCCTGTCAAGTGCGTCATGGGCTTGGCAGCCTGTGATTGTGACATGTGACAGCTCTCACGTAAAAGAAAACGGATTATAATTCAAAGAAAATGTTGGAGTCCTCGGCAAACTGCAAAGCTGTAGGCAGCGGTTTCCTCGGGATGATGACATCACAGCAACTGCACCAGCCAATCAGCTGCCAAGAGACCCCCATGCAGCAGCAACACGGCCGGCGTGACTCGCAGCTGTCGACTTGAGCCGGTTTGCGGTGGAGGCAAGTATATTGAGGCTCTCAATGTGATCAATATTGGCCTTGATCACTTTAGGATGTGTAGGTGTCTTTACTCCACGATTAGATTTCACTTACAAAAGTGTTTTATTTACCAAGACCAACATCGGTTTCAAGATTAATTAAGTGCTTCTGGACTTGGACCCCATGGAATAGCGATCTCTGCAAAATCAATGTTCTCTCAAGCAAACCGCCTTGTTGGTGCATTCATACGTGATGTGCTATTTGAACAACCCATTTAACACATTCCTGCTGCGGAGGGAGCTGCTAGGAACGCTGGGTTGCTCCGTCAATGGCCTGCAGGGTCAACGGCGGCGTGGTGTATTCCGCAAATATACCCGACTGTGAGGGCGGGCACAAGCCGGCGTGAGTAGGTTAAACGTTGAGTTTTATAAGGGAACCACGGGGTGACCAGCCCCTCCCCACCCAGCCCCACCTCTCCCATCCCACCCAGCCCCTCCCTGCACGACGGACACAATAATCCCCTGTGGGCTGGTGTAACCAGGCGGTCCCTACCAGTATCAATGTACAATGCTCAAAGTGCACAAATATGACAACGATGCTGATATTTAGAACCAGTACAATGCTGTTCAATTGTATTTCACCAAGCATGAGTACAGATCAGAAAATGTCAAATACTAGCATACGTTCCATCACATTAAAATAAACTATACCAAGCACTCCTTGCTACTCACAATGGCAGCAGTGTCACTGCTGTGATTATTCTTATCTGAATGCCATTCCAGGGCAAGCTTCTTGTATGCGGATTTAATTTCTGCTTCAGGGGCTCCTGTGCATGACAGCAAGCTTCCATTAAACACGTGGCACACAAAACACCGCTCAATAACATACATTGACAGATCCGTAAAATGGCACATTTGTACATTTCCATTGGATTTTTCTTACGTTTTATTCTTTTTCAAGATCTAATCTATACAACAGCCATAAAGCTCCTTTTCAAAGACGTCCAGAATGCAACAACAAACAACACAACAACACGAGTGCAAAGCATTGTACAGGTAATGTAAACAAATCACTTTAAAAATAAATAAATATGCAAATACCAACAAACTATTTTTTTTATCCTTTATATTAAGTTCACTTGCTTGCTTGCGCGCTTACGACCGTGCAAATATTTCGGTAGTTTTTTAACTCACTTCCCGTGATCCAATCGAGCTGACATTTTGCACACAGACTCGTTGTGCGTGACAATGAATTTTCGTGAAAAATGCTTTCCAAAATTTTCCACTTTTTAGGAATTTTTATTTTTCATATTTAATTTAAAATACCAATGTGATAAAAATTAAACTCTTACTTAAGAAAAACAGAAATGAATAATAAAATAAAACCGATGCCACGCATATACAGGATTTATAGTGAAAAACTTTGTAAATCCTTTATATTAAGTTCACTTGCTTGCTTGCGCGCTTATAACCGTGCAAATCTTTCGGTCGTTTTTTAACCCACTTCCCGTGATCCAATCGAGCTGACATTTTGCACACAGACTCGTTGTGCGTGACAATTAATTTTCGTGAAATAAAATTCCAAAATTTTACACTTTTTAGGAAAAAAATATATTTAATTACCAATTACTTAATGCTGCAATGCAATCATCTGACCCATAGGTGGCAGCCATCTCAAGCCAGAGGACGAGAGGACTCTAGCCGCCACGCATATAAAGGATTTAGAGTGAAAAACTTTGTTTTTACGGGTTAATTTTTTTGTATCTTACCAGGCATAGACAAACCGAGCTGTTAGCCTCTTTGTCAGAAGCCATGTGGCCACAAATGATAGCCAACAAACGTGGCGATTCAACGCAGCAAAACTATCGCAAACAACACAGAGCACACGTACACATCTAGGCAGATGATTATTGACGTGGCGTGACCCACATTTCTATTCCGATCAATGACTCGTCTTCTTGGTGCTTTCGGTAAAGTCACGTAGAAGGGAAATAATAAAATAATAAAAATAAAACATTATAAAATTCTCACGACGTTTCGGTCACAACGCAATCAGCCGTCCTCAGGTGAAGAACAGGTCTGTCGGGAAGACAGCGTCTGACACTGTCTTTCCGACAGACCTGTTCTTCACCTGAGGACGGCTGCTTGCGTTGTGGCCGAAACGTCGTGATAATTGCATTTTATTATGTTTTATTATTTTATTATTTCCCTTCTACGTGATGACTTTACCGAAAGAACCAAGAAGATGAATCCCTGCAGTCACGAAAGAAGCTTTAAATCGAGACACATTGATATTTACGCGATCTTACCCCCAAACATGGATATCGGTCACGAAAGCCCGAGTACTGTACGTGTTGGGAGACAAAGGCGGCCGGGCGTGGTGCTGGCCACCCACCCCCCTCGTGTGCCACAGTGCCGGTAGCCTTCATAGGTGCTCGCTAACAGCACTTGCCCCTACAGTCTGTTAGAGGCTACCTGGGGGACCTTTGTCTGTGTTGCTACTCGCTACTAGCAGCACTTGCCCCTGCAGTCTGCCAAGGCTACCTGGGGGACCATTGTCTGTGTGTCCACGCGACTCACCATAGGGAAGTCCCAGCGCCGTGTAGGCCTCTTGACGGGTCAAGCTCATGTCGGATACCAACAACAACACAAACAACAACACAAACAACAACACAAACAACAACAACACTCACCACCACTCACACACTCTCTACTATATACTAGTAGTGTACAACAACAACACAAACAACAACACAACACTCACCACCACTTACACACTCTCTACTATATATACTAGTAGTGTACAACAACAACACAAACAACAACACAAACAACAACCACCACCCTCTTCCTCCGACAGTCACCACGTCGAGCGCCGCAGGAGCAACACGTGACTCGGAGACGCCGCTCCCTGATTGGTCGCTGACAAAAGTATCAGAAACGTCCGCTGATTGGTTCAACGCCGGCCACGCCCCCTCACACCACGCGGCTTCCCATTGGCTGCTTGACAATTAATTAAAGAAGACTTCCGGCCTATTTAATTAATTGGCCGTTTGGCAATTAATTAAACATTTAATACATTTTCTTGGTTCTTTCGGTAAAGTCATCACGTAGAAGGAAATAATCTATATATATAAAATCGTTCATGTCTGTGTGTCTGTGTGTGTGTGTGTGGACTGCACTTTCATTGGACGGCGGTTGCCCCTGGCAACGGCTAGCCACGCCTTCGCCGCTTTCATTGGACGGCGGTTGCCCCTGGCAACGAGTAGCAACTTTTCTCCGCGGGGTGGACGCCATTTTTAATAGCGCGGGGGGGGGGGGGGACCGGCACCCGTACCCAGCGTTCGCCGGGTGGGAAAATCAGGCAAGGCGGGAGGCTTGTGCACGGTGCTAGGCCTCGACACCCAACACGCCACTCTGAGGTAAATTCATACAAATTTCACGTCCTCTACAGACTGGCGAGGGAGGCAGAGTGGCGAGGGAGGCAGAGTGGCGAGGGAGGGACTCAGCCTCAAAACGAGTAACTGGTGTGGCGTATTAACATCGCCACTGGGGAGACAAAGGCGGCCGGGCGTGGTGGATACAAGTCCCGGGCAAAGCCGGGTCATGACTATGTGTGTATGTGTTTATGTGTATGTCTGTGTGTCTGTATGTATGTGTGTATGTATGTGTCTGTATGTGTTTGTGTGTATGTATGTGTGTGTCTGTATGTATGTGTGTGTGTATTGTGTATGTGTTTGTGTGTATGTATGTGTGTGTTTGTATGTATGTGTATGTTTGTGTGTATGCATGTGTGTGTATGTGTTTGTGTGTATGTGCGGTTATGTATGTGTGTGTATGTGTGTGTCTGCAGCAAGCGCGTGTATGTGTACCTATGGACGCGCGCGCGTGTGTTGTGTAGGGGGAACGGTAGTGTAGTGCTTAGCGTACTGCCTGTGTCTATGTGTGTGTGTGTGTGTCTGTGTGTGTGTGTCTGTGTGTGTGTGTCTGTGTGTGTGTCTGTGTGTGTGTGTCTGTGTGTGTGCGTGTGTGGGGTGTAGGAGGAACGGTAGTGTAGTGCTTAGCGTGCTGCCTGTGTGTGTCTGTGTGTGTGTGTCTGTGTGTGTGTGTCTGTGTGTGTGTGTCTGTGTGTGTGTCTGTGTGTGTGTCTGTGTGTGTGCGTGTGTGGTGTGTGGGGAGCGGTAGTGTAGTGGTTAGCGTGCTGTCTGTGTGTCTGTGTGTGTGTGTCTGTCTGTGTGTGTGTTCTGTGTGTGTGTCTGCGTGTGTGGTGTGTGGGGAGCGGTAGTGTAGTGGTTAGCGTGCTGTCTTTGTGTCTGTCTGTGTCTGTCTGTGTGTTTCTGCGTGTGTCTGTGTGTGCGTCTGTGTGTGTGAGGAGCGGTGGGTGTAGTGGTTAACGCTACGCTGCGCTACCAACCCGGCGAACCGAGTTAGATTCCCGCTCATGGCCACCACCGATCAAGATTATTTGAACCTCACATAGGTCGACTCAGCCTCAAACGAGTAACTGGTGTGGCGTATTAACATCGCCACTGGGGAGACAAAGGCGGCCGGCCGTGGTGGATACAAGTCCCGGGCGAAGCCGGGTAGTACAGCTAGTAAAATAATAAAAATAAAACAAAATAAAATACAATTCTCACGACGTGTGGCCGAAACGTCGTGAGAATTGTATTTAATTGTTTTATTTTTATTATTGTATTACTTCCCTTCTACGTGACTTTACCGAAAGAACCAAGAAGACAGGTCACACTTTGTAGCGATCACCCGGAGCGACACGTTGTATTTGAGGCCACTGAACAGCAGCGACAGCTCGGGGTGTACAACTCCTCTAGAGCAGCTTTGAGTGATGAAGCAGTCGTTGTTACGCGCTTGTATGGGTTCACAAGACGACTTGTTGTGGTTTATATATAGTCTAAACGTTGCTGCTTCTTGTTGTTGTTGTCATCTTGACGCGGGGTTCCAAGAGGCGCGAAGGATGTTGGTGTTTTGCGATAGAAATAAATGAACTGCGCGGCGCCCAGCGTGGGGCTCGAACCCGCGAGCCCGAGACGCCGCCGCGTGCCGCGCGCCACCCGCTGAGCTCGCCGCGCGCTGGGGACTCAGCTCGCCAAGTCGCCTCCTCGTGTAGCAGCCTCCACTCGCGTTCACTCGCTACACACCGTGTCAGTGTGGGGGGGGTGGTGGTGGTGGTGGTTGTGGTGGGGGTGGTGGGGGTGGTGGTGAGGGTTGTGGTGGGGGTGGTGGTGGGGGGGTTGTGGTGAGGGTTGTGGTGGGGGTGGTGGTGGGGGGGTTGTGGTGGGGGTGGGTGGTGGGGGTTGTGGTGGGGGGGGGTGGTGGGGGGGTGGTGGTGGTGGGGGTTGTGGTGGGGGCTGTGGTGGTGGGGGCTGTGGTGGGGGGGTGGTGGTGGGGTGGTGGTGGGGGTGGTGGGGGCTGTGGTGGGGGTGGTGGGGGGGGTGGTGGTGGGGGGGGTGGTGGTGGTGGTGGGGGGGGGTGGTGGGGGGGTGGTGGTGGGGGCTGTGGTGGGGGTGGTGGTGAGGGTTGTGGTGGGGGTGGTGGTGGTGGTGGGGGTTGTGAGGGTGGTGGTGAGGGTGGTGGTGGGGGGGTGGTGGGGGTTGTGGTGAGGGTTGTGGTGGGGGGGTGGTGGGGGTTGTGGTGAGGGTGGTGGTGAGGGTTGTGGTGGGGGGGGGGTGGTGGGGGTTGTGGTGAGGGTTGTGGTGGTGGTGGTGAGGGTTGTGGTGGGGGTGGTGGTGGGGGGGTTGTGGTGAGGGTTGTGGTGGGGGGGTGGTGGGGGTGCTGGGGGTTGTGGTGGTGGTTGTGGTGGGGGGGGGGTGGTGAGGGGGGGGGGTGGTGGTGGTGATGGGGGTTGTGGTGGGGGTGGTGGTGGTGATGGGGGTTGTGGTGGGGGTGGTGGGGGGGGTGGTGGTGGTGGGGAGAGCTGACAAACTCCAACTCTACGGGCGTCAGGATCGGGATTCGAACCCACGTCCTGCACACCGTCACGAGCGTTTACATTTGGGAGTGGTGCGAGGGGGGGGTCACCGATCTACGCCACACACACGGACACTCACACAGACACACACACTCACACACACGGACACTGTCAGGAGTCCACGCTCGCTCTAGCGCCCTCTCCTGGCCGTGCAGGGCACGGCACCTCGGCGTCCAAGCGACGAGACTTTCACGACATCTGTGCGATCAGGTCAAAGCCTCGCGCTCGCCACAGCGCTGAGACAGGCAGAGAGACACACACAGAGGCGAACAGAGACACAGACGGACAGAGACGTGGAATCGAACATGCTCAACTCGCTCCATTGACAGAGATTCATCGATCTTTGCACATCCCCGCAAGTCGTTCTAGTTTCTATTTTACTGTGTGGTGTGTAGTGTAAGCAATGTGGGACATCGATGTACACAGACATGAACAAGATCAGCAGACAAGACGTCTTTCATTTAATCGGTCTCTCCAAGAAACAAAGGAACGTTAAACACAAACTTAACTTTGGAGCTTTCGTGACTGCAGGAATTATTCTTTGGTTCTTTCGGGAAAGTGACGTATAAAGAAAAAATAATAAATTAAATAATAGCATACGACGTTTCGATTGCAACACAAGCAATCATCATCAGGTATAATGAAATAGCGACAAAATCTAACCAGAAAAAATTATAGACAGACATATAAGCAGACAAATATCACCAAGATACACAGAGCGGGCAACACAGGCACAGAGAGGGGTGATCGTCTCTGTGGGGTGGCCTTAAATAGACAGAGGGGGGCGGAGGCAGCGAGAGGGAGGTGTTAGAGACAAAACTTACATGTCAATGAGTTTTACACAAAATATAAATCCCACGGCCTTGTGCGAGTCCATGACTACTGCAGCAGTGACTCAGTGCGAGGCAGCTGTGGACCGGTTCTTGTGCACGATGTCTCAACAGCAGTCAGGGCTCGCTTCAACCCACGGTTGTCAACATCCAGACGTTAATCAGCAAGGAACATTTCTTGTCCTAGTTCACCAACATAAGACGTCATACAAAATCCTAATTAGCGTTGGGTAGAATGTATCTACTCGATGTGCTCTGCCTTGTAACTGAACACAAAATTGTAAAAAAATGCATTTTAAATGTGCTCTTAAAATTACCTCCTTGCTATGAAACAATTCAGACTTTACATATTTCATTTATCCATCTCTCCACGAAACAAAGGAATGTTTTAAACTATAACCATCATGGCCTTCTGGGAGTGCATCATTGATTCAGTGCAAGCCACCTATGGACCCTTATTGGTGGACAGCGTCTCAACAGCAGCCGGGCTCGCTTCAACCCACGGTTATGAACCTCCAGACGTGAATCAACAAGGAACATTTCTCGTCCTAGTTTGACAAAGTCTCTGTCATCACGTAATACAAAATTATAATTCGTGTTGTAGAGAATGTATCTCCTCTACGTGTAGCGTTTAAGCGGTACGCCTTGTAACTGACGGATGATCCGAGCGTGCTCCCTATTGCATGCTCCCTACTCCAGAGGCAGATACTTCCTTGAAACACAAAAGTACCCTTGACCTGTACCACAAGAATAACGGGTCTCACCTGAGTAATCTCTACAGGCTACTTACAAACACAAACACACACTTTGTCCCAACATCGCTTATTCGATGTTTGACCCTCAGACAAAATGTTCAATGTATGCGCACAATCAGAAAAGTATTCATTCTAAACTACTGACAGGCATATTGACATTGAATAACTGCAGTGAAACTTACTGCATCGGTAAAGTCATGGAAAAAGAAATTAAATAACAGAATACGACATTTCGATTGGAACACAAGCAACCATCATCAGGTGCAACAAGTGAATGAGAAAACATAGTGAACTTAGAAATATAATGCAACACAACACAGAGTCAGCCAACACAACAGTCAACACCCTACCTGGTTGATTACGTTCTTCCAAAATTGAACAATTTAGTTTAGATAACATCTTATTAACAAGGAGCTATTTAAAGAATGCACCCTCTACTGAACAGTGGATGTGAAACATACAATTGTGTCATTCAAAACGAGTAGGCCATTGCATGTTGGCGTCTGGGTCAAAATGTAGCAAATTCTAAACATTACCTACAAACTCCACAAATGAGATGCCACATCAACCATCGCCCCCTACTGACAGGCTCTTGTCCACACGCAGGCCGGTGCAGGGCCACCACCTTGTGCCACACAGGGGCAGCTGCCACTTGGGGATGTTTCGAGTGTTTGAGAAGAGATACGATGCAAAACTCAGAGTTGCCGAGGCGATTAAGCAAGCACCATGTAAATGCAATTATGAGAACAGAGTGAATGCTTGGGAGCTTATTGGCTCTCGCTCCTGGTTAGAGATCTACCCAACACACAGGGCCACAAAGACTGGCCGCTCTTACCCTGCAGGTTGAACCTAGGAACTGAGTGTTCAACTTCACATTCTTGTCATTAAAGGCCTGTGACAAAGGTCCATCTATTGGAGCGACATCGTCTCAGGCTTACACATCTACCGGGTCTCCATTTGACTTTGTATTGTCTCGGAGGAAATCCACCCACACCTCCACCTCCACAAAATGCTGGGAGTTGCCTCGCTCTGCCTCACAGTCAGAATTCTCCTCCTGCTTCACGTTGCCTCCATCGATGTGAAGGTCCCATTTTGGAGTTGAATCTTCATCTTCACATTTTACCTTCACTTCTTCGCTCTTCACCATCACCTCTTCATATTCCACCATCACCTCTTCATATTCCACCTCGATACCTTTCAAAGTGTCCAAGCTGGGAATTTCTTCTGGTTCTTGTTTCATGAGGGATGGGCTCATTGCAGCACTTTGACTTTCACAAGCTGATTTCAGACTCCACTCCTGGTGGATCTTGTGATGCTTGTATGTTCTCTGGTGTACTTGAAGATTTGATGAATGTGCAAACGCCTTCCCGCACAGAATGCACTTGAAGGGTTTCTCTCCCGTGTGTGTTCTCTGGTGTGCTTGAAGATGATTACTGATTGTGCAAACGCCTTCCCACACACAGTGCACTTGAAGGGTTTCTCTCCTGTGTGTGTTCTCTGGTGTGTTATAAGAGAAGATGACAGTGCAAACGCCTTCCCACACACAGTGCACTTGAAGGGTTTCTCTCCCGTGTGGATTATCTCGTGTCTTTGAAGATGTGGTGACTGTGTAAACGCCTTCCCGCACAGAATGCACTTGAAGGGTTTCTCTCCCGTGTGTGTTCTCTGGTGTATGATCAGAGAAGATGACTGTGAAAATGCCTTCCCACACACACTGCACCTGAAGGGTTTCTCTCCCGTGTGTGTTCTCTGGTGTTTTTTAAGAGAAGATGACTGTGAAAATGCCTTCCCACACACACTGCACTTGAAGGGTTTCTCTCCCGTGTGTGTTCTCTGGTGTTTTTTAAGAGAAGATGACTTTGAAAATGCCTTCCCACACACACTGCACTTGAAGGGTTTCTCTCCCGTGTGTGTTCTCTGGTGTCGTTTAAGAGCAGATGGCCATGCAAAGGCCTTCCCACACACACTGCACTTGAAGGGTTTCTCTCCTGTGTGTGTTCTCTGGTGCTGTGTCAAATTTCCAGTGCGATCCATGCTGTATCCACGCTGGTCGCATTGTTGCCTTGCTGTACCGAGCTGTGCTGAGCGCCTTTGCTCCATCAGACCAATTCTGCAGAGGAAGCGTCAGAGGAAGCGTCAGCTACAGACAGAAAAAAAGAATATCCACACCATCTACATGTCAGTATCGAGGCACAGATGAATGCAAAAACACAGTCACACGTGACTTACACGTCTATACTTATTCATATATTCATGATGTAGTGAAAAAGTTTCCCAAATTCATCACACAGGCTGTTATTGCACACAATGAGAGGGCAAATGGTCATAAATATGCCTGGAAGCCCTCGTATCTCCGTGGTGAGATGTTAACTACCTTGCCTGGTATACAGGAGGTCGTGGGTTCGATCCCGACCCTGACGCCTGCTGCTGCTGTATATTTGGAGTTTGCGTGTCTCTCTCTCTCCGTGGTGAGATGTTAACTACCTCGCCTGGTATACAGGAAGTCGTGGGTTCGATCCCGACCCTGACGCCTGCTGCTGCTGCTGTATATTTGGAGTTTGCGTGTCTCTCTCTCCGTGGTCGCGTGGATTTTCCTCCGAATCTCCCGGGTTTCCCCTCCACATTTAGAGTCAACATCAGCACGCGTGCAGCGTCTTTGACCGATACACATTTCCACACGTATTCTTGGTTCTTTCGGTAAAGTCACGTAGATAGACAATAACAACAGATAATAACATCAAATAAATGCCACTTGTGTTGCGATCGAAACGTCGTGGTTGTTATTTATTTATTTACAATTTTGTTTACTTTTATTCATTTTATTATCTGTTATTTTTAATAAATTTGCTATCTCCGTGACTTCACCGAAAGAACCAAGAATATGAATTGCTGCAGTTACTAAAGTTTTAAGTCAAAACATTGACACACGCGTTGACAAAACCCACCTTGTGTCGTGGGCAGGTAGCTTCTGTAAACAAGAGCGGTACAGCAGCTCAGGCGGGCTTGGGCTGGTAAAAAAGCGAAAAAAAACTGCGTTAATATCTACAATAAACCAAAGTGACAAAGTAGCGAGCCGCGTGAAGACAAATTAAACTTAAGGGAGGGAATTAAAGCAAACGCGACCAGGCGAGGGCAGGAGGCAAGGCCCCGCGTGTCTAGGCCCCGCGTTGTAAAGTTCCAACTTGGACATCGATTCACAAGCTGCTGCTGCTCTAGTGACATCCCTACGAGAGAGAGAGCGAGGCTCTAGCTTGGTAAACAACAACAACCACAACAACAACCACAACAACAACAACCACAACAACAACCACCACAACCACCACGACGATGAGAATTTCTCACCTCGGATTGCAGTTCACGCGCGGACCTCCAGCTTCCTGTTAGCTCGTGACGTCACGCGGCAGCAGATGACGTCACGCGGCTGCAGATGACGTGACGTCACGCGGCAGCAGATGACATGACGTCACGCGGCAGCAGATGACATGACGTCACTTCTGGGGTACAAGACCCTCCCTCCAACAATGAGAGGCTACCCTAACTGAATAAATTAATAAATTATGTTGATGTATGCGATCATCAACATTATCAATAAACATCATTTACACCATCATATACAACAACATCATCAGCATCATCATCAACAACAACAACATCATCAGCAGCATCAACAACAACAACATCATCAGCAACATCATTAAAACATCATCTACACCATCATCAGCAACATCATCACCACCCCTAGCATCAGCAGAAATATCATCAACATCAGCAACAGCATCAACATCATCAGCATCAACAGCATCAACAACAACAAACATCATCAGCATCAAAAACAACATCATCAGCACCAACAACAACAACATCAGCATCAACAACAACAAACATCATCAGCAGCATCAACAACAACAACATCATCAGCATCAACAACAACAAACATCATCAGCAGCATCAACAACAACAACATCATCAGCATCAACAACAACATCATCAGCAACATCAACAACAACAACATCAGCATCAACAACAACAACATCATCAGCATCAACAACAACAAACATCATCAGCAGCATCAACAACAACATCATCAGCAGCATCAACAACATCATCAGCAACATCAACAACAACAACAACAACATCAGCATCAACAACAACAACATCAGCAGCATCAACAACAACATCAGCATCAACAACAACATCATCAGCAGCATCAACAGCATCAACAACATCAGCATCAACAACAACATCATCAGCATCAACAACAACAACATCATCAGCATCATCATCAGCAGCATCAACAACAACATCAGCAACATCGTCACCATCTAGAACAGAGGGGAGGGAAGACTGCGGCCTAGTCGGCCTCGGGCCATCCCGAGTTTTCCTAGCGGACCCGCCGGGCCCGAAGCGCCTCCCCCGGCAGGAGTCGGGATCGAATAACGGGTCCGCCGGGCGTGGTGAACACACACAGTGTACACACACAGTGTACACACACACACAGTGTACACACACATTGTACACACGCACACAGTGTACACACACACAGTGTACACACACACAGTGATAGTGTACACACACACGCACACAGTGTACACACACACAGTGTACACACACAGTACACACACACAGTGTACACACACATTGTACACACACAGTGTACACACACACACAGAGTACACACACAGTGTACACACACACACATTGTACACACACACATTGTACACACACAGTGTACACACACACAGTGTACACACAGACACACAGTGTACACACACACAGACACACACACAGAGTGTACACACACACACACAGTGCACACACAGACACACATACCCAGTGTACACACAGACACACATACCCAGTGTACACACAGACACACAGTGTACACACACACAGAGTGTACACACACACACACAGTGCACACACAGACACACAGTGTACACACACACAGACACACATACACAGTGTACACACACACAGTGGACACACACACACAGACACACACAGTGTGTACACACAGACAGTGTACACACATACACACAGGTACACACACACAGAGTGTACACACACACACAGTGTACACACAGACACACAGTGTACACACACACAGTGGACACACACACACAGACACACACAGTGTGTACACACACACAGACACACACAGTGTACACACAGACACACAGTGTACACACACACAGTGTACACACACACACAGTGTACACACACAGTGTACACACACAGAGTGTACACACACACAGTGTACACACACACACAGTGTACACACACAGTGTACACACACAGAGTGTACACACACACAGTGTACACACACACACAGTGTACACACACAGTGTACACACACACAGTGTACACACACACACAGTGTACACACACAGTGTACACACACACACAGACAAACACACACAGACACACACACAGACACACAGTGTGTACACACACACAGTGTACACACAGACACACAGTGTACACACACACAGAGTGTACACACACACACACAGTGCACACACAGACACACAGTGTACACACAGACACACATACACAGTGTACTCACAGACACTCAGTGTACACACACACAGTGGACACACACACACAGACACACACAGTGTGTACACACAGACAGTGTGTACACACACACACAGTGTACACACAGACACATTGTGTACACACACAGACACTCCAACACACAACCGGTTAGTGCTGCTCCAGTGACAGATTGGCACGGTATGTCACGTGATAAACCTTGCGAATTGGCTGTCGGCTGATGGCCGGTTTAACGACACGCAAACATTCAAACTTAATTTGGAGTTGGAGTTTGTGTCTCTCTCTCATCATCACGGTGGCTAGGAGATGTTAACTACCTCGCCTGGTATACAGGAGGTCATGGGTTTGATCTCGATCCTGAAGATTCTTGCTGTATATTTGGAGTTTGTGTGTCTCTCTCATCATCATCACGGTAGCTAGGAGATGTTAACTCCCTCGCCTGGTATACAGGAGGTCGTGGGTTCGATCCCGGCCCTGGCGACGCCAACTGCTGTATATTTGGAGTCTGCGTGTCTCTCTCTCTCTCATCATCATCAGTGAGTGGGTGAGGTGAGTGGGTGGGTGAGTGTGTGAGCGAGTGGGTGTGCGGGTGAGTGGGTGGGTGAGTGTGTGAGCGAGTGGGTGTGCGGGTGAGTGGGTGGGTGAGTGGGTGGGTGAGTGTGTGAGCGAGTGGGTGTGCGGGTGAGTGGGTGAGTGTGTGAGCGAGTGGGTGTGTGAGGTGCGTGGATGGGTCAGTGAGTGGATGAGTGAGGAGGGGTACCAGGTCGTCTACTGGGGGTGAGGGGTCATTATACAGGGCGGTTCAAAGGTCAAGACACAGTTTCTTGGGTTTCTATTTTATTGTGATTTTCCGAGTTTACAAAGGTAGCTCTCTCTCCGTCCGTCTCTCTCTCTCTTCCTCTCTCCACTGCTGGGCCTGTAGGCTTGGCCCGAGCGAGTTCCCGCCTTTTCACGAGTTGATTCCGCCCCCCGCCGTGGCTTTGTCGGCACGAGGCTTCTGCGCCGGTGAGTGTCAAGGGCTCCAACGGGCCCCAAACCGCTGCCCCGTCGTCATCGCCGCCGTGGACAAAGCGCCGGTGCTCGACATCATGAGCTGCGTGGAGAGGGACCTTCTGGACCTCGTGTTGCGCACGGGCTACAACATCGTCCAGGAGAACGGACAGAGGAAGCTGGGACCGCCGCCCGACTGGCAGGGCCCCCCTCCCGCCCGCGGCTGCGAGGTGTTCGTGGCGAGGATCCCGCGCGACCTGTACGAGGACGAGCTGCTTCCCGTGCTGGAGGCGGTGGGGAAGCTGTACCAGCTGCGCCTCATGATGACGTACCAAGAAGAGAACCGCGGCTACGCGTTCGCCACCTTCGCGACGCGCTCGCAAGCCTTGAACGCCGTCAAGAGACTCCACGACTTGGAGATCCGCCCGGGGCAACGGATAGCGGTTTGCGTGAGCGTCGACAATCGCCGCCTCTTCTTGGCGAGGCTGCCGAAGGACAAGACGCGGGCCGAGGTGATGGCTGCGATGAGCGACGTCACGGAGGGCGTCGTGGACGTCCAGATGCGCTTCTGTCGCTACGACAGGAGCCTCAGCCGAGGCTACGCGTTCGTCGAATACGAGAGCCACCGCGCGGCCTGCATGGCCCGCAGGGTGCTGCTGCCGTACTCTTTCCGGCTGTGGGGCCGGGACATCCACGTGGACTGGGCCATCCCGCAGCGAGAGCCGGGGGCGGCGGCCGCTGCTGCTGCTGCCGCGGCGGTGGCAACGGAAGACGACGAGGAAGGGGGGGAGGAGGTGGAGGAGGAGGAGGTGGAGGAGGAGGTGGAGGTGGGGGAGGAGGTGGAGGTGGGGGAGGAGGTGGAGGAGGAGGTGGGGGAGGAGGAGGTGGGGGAGGAGGAGGCAATGGAAGACGAGGAGGCGGTGGCGGCGGTCCCAGGCCTACCGCCGCCGGAGTGCGCCGTCTCCGACAAGGCCCCGCACAACCTGTTTGTGGGCTGGGCGGCGCACACGCTGCTCTGGCGGGCACCTCACCACCCGCGGCCCACGCCAATCGGTCTGGACGAGCTGCCGGAGACGGCCGTCTTGTCGTGGGAGACGCGTCTGCAGGCGCTGCTACGGAGCGCCGGCGTGGGCCACGCGACCTTCGAACTGCACGCTCACTCGGAGCCCGGCAGGCCCATGGGCCTCGTGTACAAGGTCTCCGTTCCCGGGATGATGCGGGAAGGCAGCGGCTTCTTCCCCGCGGTGCTGAGCTCCAGCGTGGAGGGAGCTCGCGAAGTGGCCAGCGGCCTTCTCTACGAAATCCTCGGCGACGCCAACCCCCTGAGGGTGGGCCCGGTCCCCGCCGCCACGCTGCCTCCCGGCTGCCCCGTCCGGAACCTCCCGGCGTATCCCGGCGACTTCCCCGCGCCCCGGCAGCCGGTCGCCGCGCGCCTGCCGACGAGCGGCACGTACCCGTAGTGCCGCGTGGCCGTCGCGGCGGCGTTCGTCAGGCCGCGGACGGCATCCCACCGCTCGGCGTTCGCTCTGCAGCTCACGTCCGCTCTGCAGTGTTCACCGTCAAACCGCAAGTTGCCCGCCCGCTCACTCGACGTGCTCACGTTGATCGGTTGTTGCCTCTGTGGCCGTACCCGTGAATCCCTTCCCAGGCCAGCGGGCGTGACCCCGTGACCTCGCCAGGCGTGACCCCGTGACGTCACCAGGTGTGACCCCGTGACCTCGCCAGGCGTGACCCTGTGACGTCGCCAGGCGTGACCCCGTGACCTCACCAGGAATGACCCCGTGACATCACCAGGCGTGACCCTGTG